CCCCGCCCCTGCCGCTGCGGGAGAGGCCTGCGTGGCAAGGCCTGCCGGGAAAGTGGTGGGCTTTCTGAAGGAGGGGGCGAGGAGGTGGGGGCGGGGACCAGACGCGGCGGGGGGTTGGGGGCCGGAGGGACCCTCGGCCAGCGTAAGTTGGGGGACCCGAGCCCAGAGTCGGGGAAAGGCAGGTATTGGAACCAGTGGGCGGGGTTTTGGTCCGGACACCGAGTATTCTGACTCGCCTCTGCCTTTCTTGTCTCCTATGAATAACTGTGCTTAAAAAGACCACCCTGAACATGGAAAAAGCCTGCAAAGAGCCTGAAGAGCAGCCACAGAGCTCGCCCAAGACGGATGAGGAACAGACTGCTGAAGAGCAGTCTCCCGAAAAGACGTCTACGGAGGAGCCGTCTTCGGAGGAGCAATCCTCGGAGGAGGAGTTCTTTCCCGAGGAACTCCTTCCTGAGCTCCTTCCTGAGATGCTCGTGTCCGAGGAGCGCCCTCCTCAGGAGCGCCTGTCTAGGAAGGACCTGTTTGAGGAGCGTCCTCCCATGGAGCAGCCTCCTTGCGGAGTGGGCAAACATAAGCTAGAGGAAGGCAGCTTTAAAGAAAGGCTGGCTCGCTCTCGCCCGCAGTTCAGAGGGGACATACATGGCAGAAATTTAAGCAACGAGGAGATGATAAAGGTCGCAGAGGAGATGGAAGAGATGAAGAGGGTACGAAACAAATTGATGATCATGCATTGGAAGGCAAGACGGAACCGCCCTTACCCTATTTAATGTGTTTGGCCTTTAATTCAGTTTTGCCGGCTTTAAGTATTATCACCTGAACTGTGTTTGCATTTTCTCATATACCTTACCCCATCTTCCTAATTTTGACTTTTTGTGTGGCTTTATTTGAGCTGTTTCGCCTGTAACTGGGTAAAACTGCCCCCCTCATCTGCAAGTCCCCCTCTTTCAATCATGAGTCTTCTCCATTTTGCATGGAAAGATGTACATTAAATATTGTGAAGTAACAAAAGCAATTTTCAAAAAGTATATGTAGTATCCCATTTTTGTAAAAAATGTATATTTATATATTAATATGCAAAGAAAACTGAAACTATATACTTCCGAGGCGTAACAGTGGTTTCTGTGTGGTAAGATAATAGGTGATTTCTTTTTCATTTTTGTTTCACCTGAATTTCTCATTTTTTCAAGATGAATGCATTTTACATATGTTGCAAAAAAAAACCAATGGGAAAATTGTAAAGCAATTTAAACTGTCAATCAGCTTATAAAGCACTTAATAAATACTTGTTAGAACTTTAAAAAAGAAAAGTAAATCCCATGTTTTTTTTCTGAATCTGTTAGGCAGAAATATAAACCAGGTACTTACTATATTTGTTTAAGGGTCATTCTTTTCCCATTTAAATAGGAATCATACTTGACTTACAGGGCTGCTGCGGAACCAAACGAGGTAAAGATTGTGTGAGCTGTATTTTTCCCCCACTTGCACACGCTGGACCCCAACCCCTATAGATTCCCTTCAAATACAGGGGGTAGTACCCAAAGGAGGTCTGGTTTGTGCTCACAAATCCTGTGCGATTCCAGGTGAGTGCCACATTCTGTTCATGTCCTGCTATTCTCTTCCCTTGGATACCGCCATGTCTGCTGGGCACAGCTGCTCCTTGTCCTGGGTCCTGCTCCTTCCACTGCCCCCCATCACAGCTAAAGTGCCAAAGTCCTCCTGGAGCAAAGCTCCAGATTGCTTTGGAGCCCCTCCCTGCTGGGCCAAATCTGAACTGTCTCCTGCAGACCCACTAAATCTGCTTTTCTGTGTATTTGCACACAAGCTGGAGAGCCACTGCTATCTATATACAATATACTCCTGGTTTCAGTAAGAATAAACCACAACATAAATAGAAGTACAGATGATTGTATCAGAATTAAAGAAGTGAAACTCTTGTCCAACTGTATTTTTAAACAAGAATATAAAAACCTCATAATTTTACTACATAAAATTTAATTTTTTTGCAGCAAAGCAAGACCATACAGACAATAAAAACCTGAGAGATGACAAAACAGCAAGACATATTTTCCATGATTGACATTATATAATGCCTTACATGATTTCCTTCCAGTATGAGTAAAATACATTAGAAATAAATTCAGAGTTCTCCTTTGGTAATCAGTCCACAAAACGGTAAGCCAGTCCTATGTACTTAATTTTTTTTTCACTGTGTGATGCCATTTGCGGGGGGGGGGGGCAGGAGGGATCTTCATGTCTCCAGACCATTCTTGAAGGTT